CCTAAACCCCTAAACCCCAAAACAATAAACCCCAAACCCTAAACCCTAAACCCTAAAACAATAAACCCCTAAACCCCAAAGCCCTAAACCCCTAAACCCTAAAACAATAAGCCCCAAACCCTAAACCCTAAAACGATAAACCCTAAACCCCTAAACCCTAAAACATAAATCTCACAAAGCTTCGCCTTGAACTCGTTCCCATCCGTGGGCCCGAGCACTTCTACGAGCCTGAACGGTGTGAACAACAGGGGGTTTAGGGGTTTAGGAGTTTAGGAGTTTAGGGTTCAGGGGTTTAGGGTTTAGGGTTTAGGAGTTTAGGGTTTAGGGTTTAGGGTTTAGGTTGTTTTTGCTTAGGCTTCTGCCTGGACCCTAATGAACCCACCTGTTTAAGGACTTAATGTGAGGAAGCCAGAATAGGGAGCCCTAGGAAGGTAGGTTCCGTAGGGTCCAGGTATAGGGTTTAGGGTTTTGAGGCTTAGGGTTTACGGTTTAGTTAGGGTTTTGAGGTGAGGGTTCCTTCAAGGGATCCTTCAAGCGTTCCATTACAAGGGTGTCTATTCAGGCTCCTCGAAAAAAGGGGTTGTGAAAGCGTCCAATAAGTGTTCGTTGCGTCGAGGCATCCTTTCACGAGCTTTAATTACAAGGCTTCTGATAAGGCTTGCCCCAAACCCTAAACCCCTAAACCCTAAACCCTAAACCCTAAACCCTAAATCCTAAATCCTAAACCCTAAACCCTAAGATTCTAAAAGCGAAAACGGTTCCGCCAAGGGCCTGTACAAGGGATCTAGACGGAGTCTTTATGGCTGCATACGGGTTCTATATGACGGGCTCGGGGCTTCCCTACTATATTGATGTTAGCTCCGAGTTTTTGGGTGTCGAGCTGGTTTAAAGGATATTTGTCTTTTAGGCTTTTGGACTTCGGGGTACTAGGATTTGAGGACGAGGGGCTATGCGGATTTGGAGCTCGAAGTTTGGGGCTGTAAGATTTAGCAGACTTCGGGGTTGTCAGGTTCGAGGCTTTTTTGGGTTTTGCCCAAAGCCCCATAGTAGTTCCGTTTTGGGGTTCATATTTAGAATCCTGTAAGGTAATCCCAAAAAGGAACTACTATGGGGCCTATGGGTGGTTTGGGGCTTTAGCGTTCTTTGCTGTCTTGCAGTCAGGCTTTGTGGCTTCGGGCTGGGGGTTTAAAAGTTGGCAGTTTGGAACTAGGGCTTGAGACTTTGAGCGAAGGTGTGGACGTCTGGAGCAACTAAAAACCCAGTGTTTAGGGTTGAGGGGTAGGAATAACAATCACACTCTAGGTTGCCCAGTAGCCCCTTAATAATAAGGGTACCTCGAGTCTCAAAGAGCTGTCATGTCATGGAGGGGAGCTGTGTTAGCTCAACTTAAGAAGAATCTTCTGGATAATAATAA